CAGGAGGCTGTGAGTTCTAGTTCCGCCTTAGGCATGAAAGCCAATTGAGTGACTTTGGGCCAATCACCAGGAGGCTATGAGTTCTAGTTCCGCCTTAGGCATGAAAGCTGATTGGATGATTTGGGACCAGCCCCTCTCTTTCTTAGCCCAGCCCTCCTCACAGGGTTGTTGGTATGGGGAAAATAGGAGGAAGAAGGTGTGTTAATGTGTTGCCTCCAAGAGTCATTTTCAAAAATAATAATAAAGACAATACACAAATAAAACAATAGTTTTAAGATGTGACCTTCGATTCCCAGAATTCCCTACCCACCACTCGACCCATCTCAGAATTGCCAAGATGGGGCTCATTTGAACTCCAAGAGCAAAAAATATTTTTCTCTGTCCCTTTTTGGGGAGCAACTTATCAGCTGCCCCCACCATAAGCCAAGATCACAACTGTGCTTTCCTCCTCACTAGAATAGAATAGAATGGAATGGAATGGAATAGAATAGAATAGAATAGAATAGAATAGAATAGAATAGAATAGAATAGAATAGAATACCTTTATTGTCATTGCATTCCACGAATACAATGAAATTTGAAAGCTACTCCAGCACAGTGCCCCAAACACCACATGACAATCACACTACAGAGTATTTAAAAATTAAAATAATTAAAATAACACATAGGACTGAATCACAAATGCACTGTTTGATCCAACACCAACCAGGCAGCATCAAACTCTCACCCAGTCCCTTGTGGGCGAAAAAAGAGGTTGAATTTCCTTGTTCAGTTTTGTTTCTTTTGTTCCAGTCTCCAAATCGAGCGTTCGAATTTCAAATTCCAGTTCACGACCTCCCTTTCCGAGTAAAGTTTATCCAAGCCTTTCTCCCTGCTCACCCTACCTGGCCTCCTTCTTTTTTTTAAAAAAAAAAAAAAAGTTATTGATTTATATTGATTGGTTCAGTGTCTGTAGCTAACCCTGCCTGCTGCCACCTTCGCTGATTTGAAGTAAGGTTCGCTTAACACAAAACTTCAGGCAGAAGTTTAAACTCTTGGGAATCACTTCATAACCCAAAAGGTGCTTCCCCCCCCCTCAAAAAGCAATTGGAGTTTCTTGGATTATTCCTTGAAAATGTTTCTCTTCTCATACAAGAAGTTTTTTTAGTTCAGCACCCAGATGGTCTGAAGAACTGAAGAAACTTCTTGGATGCGAAGAGAAATGTTTTCAAGAAAAGAAAAAAAAACTAAGAAGAGACTCATAAGCACACAGTGTGTTTCTTTATAACCATGTCTTGTTTCCCACGTCTTGCATGTATAACAGATATAACAAGATATAACAAGAAAGCACCTCTCCGATGTGTGTTTTTGGGTCCCTGCCCACTGAATGAAAAATAATATCTCGCGCAGCAAAACAAAGAGGTCCTTCTACGTTCACACAATGTGCAGAACCGTGCATCAGGCTTCACAAACCATACTTCCAGAGTTTCTATCATCTGCAACGGCCGAACAAACAAATATGTGCAAATTCACTCGTACAAAGATGTTTTGGTTCTCACGACATTCCCCGTTCGCACAATGCATCAGACTTCACAAACCGCACTTCCAGCAGGAATATAATTTAGTAAAAGTTGGGATTTGTTTTTAAGAATAGTTTGAAATGGAACTAAAAATTTAACGACAGTGTAATCATGATACAACACGATATCTAACGCTGACTGGAATACAATATGACTGTAAACTTAAATGCATACAAATATTATTATGTGGACAATATATATGTACCTGGATGACACACTGTATAATTGAAAGATAGTTTTTATTTGTTGTTTTTGTTGTAAAAATAAAAAAATAAAAAAAAGACGTCCCGACAGACACCTACCTTGCAACTTGAGAAGGGAGTCGTACACCTTGCACTGCATCTGTCCCGTGCTTTGCATGACGCAGGACATCCAGAGGCCTTCGTAGATGGCTTGGGCAGTCACAATATTGTCCCCCGCATAAGAGGAGATCTTCCACTGGGGCATGGCCGTGCTGACCACGATGCCAATCCAGCCGATGAAAGCCAGGACAAAGCCCAACATCTGGAGGCCTCCATTAGCCATCCTGCTTCAACAACGCAACAATGCACAGGACCCAGCTGGACTGAGAGAAAGAGCTGGATGGAGATGGTGCTGGAGAAGGAGCGTGGAGCAAACCCGGGCCGGTTCTTCAAAGCAGAGAGACTGTGCTGGCGAAGGAGGCTCTCCTTCTTCCCCTCCTTCTTCTTCTTCTGGCGTCCTCTGGGTCTTTGGTAATCCAGAAGTTTCTCCAGAGCTCACGGTTGGGTTCAGAACTGGGAAGTGAAGCTCCCAACATCTGCCCTGCCTTTTAAACCAAGCGCCTTTCCAGCGCCCCCTGGTGGTTTCACTTGGCCATTTCACTGAAAGTCCCCCTCCCTCTGCCAGCACATCTGGGTCACATCCTCTCCCCCCCCCCCCCTTTTTATTTTTAATACCAAGGAGAGCATTTTTAAGCATTATTTTTCCAAGTATTTGGAGGGGTTTTTTTGGCTTCCTAAGTTTTGCGCGAAGGCAACTGTCGCAGAAAATGTATGTTGAACTCGTCGAATTTACAGGAATTAACTCGTCGTTTTAAGGTTGATGCCTCCCTTCGGGAATGCAGCCTGTTCCCTACCTGGCCACAGGTGACTCACCTGCACAGGTAGAGTAGAAGCTTCGGGTGAGAGAGGACGTATCGCAATGTTGAAATGGGCTGAGGAGACGCCTCCCGCATCATGTTCCAGTTCAGGGAAAATCCATTATTTATTAGTTATGTCAGTCCCAACAATTCTAGACAGTTATATAACATATAACAGATAATCAGAGTTGGAAGGGACCTTGTAGGTCATCTAGCCCAACCCCCCCACCCGCCCATGCAGGAGACTCTACACCATTTCTGACAAAGGGCAGTCCAGTCTCTTCTTGAAAGTCTCAGGTGATGATGAAGCTCCACCAACTTCCGAGGGCAGTTTGTTACAGGAATCACCGCAGATGTTGGCCCCGTTTGACGACCTTTCTTGCCCATCGTCATTAAGTGAATCGTTGCTGCTGTCAAGCTAGTAACCCAGTCGTTAAGAGAATCTGGCTTCCTCATTGGACTTTGCTGGTCAGAAGGTCGCCAAAGGGGAATCACGTGACCTCCGGGATGCTGTGACTGTCGTAAGTACGAGTCAGCTGCCGAGCATCTGGTTTTTCACCACGCCGTGACCATGCGGATTACATGACCAGGTGCTGCGAGGAAAGTGTGGAAAGGTGTGAGAAACAGTCATGCGTCACTTTCTTTCAGTGCCATTCTAACTTCGAAGGGCCACGAAACGAGGGACCTTGGAGGTCTTCTAGTCCAGCCCCCTGCTCAAGCAGGTGACCCTATATACCATTTCAGACTGTCCAGGCTCTTCTTGAAAAACCTCCAGCAAACCAGCTGTCATAAGTCAGGAGGAGAGGAGAAGAAATGGAGAAAGAGAAGAAATGGAAGAGGAGAAGAAGGAGGAGGAGATATGGAGGAGGAGGAGAAGGGGGAGGAGGAGAAATGGAGAATGGGGAGAAATGGAAGAGGAGAAGGAGAAGAAGAAGGAGGAAAAATGGAGAAGGAGAAGAAATGGAAAAGGAGGAGGAGGAGAAGGAGGAGGAGAAACGAAGAAGGAGGAGGAGAAACGGAGAAGGAGGAGGAGGAGAAGAAGGAGGAAAAATAGAGGAGAAGAAATGGAAGAGGAGGAGAAGGAGGGAGAAATGGAGAAGGGGAAGAAATGGAGGAGGAGGAGGAGGAGGAGGAGGAGGAGGAGGAGGAGGAGGAGGAGGAGGAGGAGGAGGAGGAGGAGGAGAAGGAGGAGGAGGAGGAAAAGGAGGAGGAAAAGAAGGAAGAAAAGGAGGAGGAAAAGGAGGGAGAAATGGAGAAGGAGAAGAAATGGAGGAGGAGCAGAAGAAGGAGGAGGAGAAGAAGGAAGAGGAGAAATGGAGGAGGAGAAGAAATGGAGGAGGAGGAGGAGGAAGAAGAGGAGGAGGAGAAATGGAGAAGGAGAAGAAATGGAGGAGAAGAAGAAGGAGGAGGAGGAGAAGGAGGAGAAATGGAGAAGGAGAAGAAATGGAGGAGAAGAAGGAGAAGAAGAAGGAGGAGGAGGAAAACTGTCTTTGTTCATGGTTTATCCCACCCATCTCCCCTACAGGTGACTCTGGGTGTCTTATAAGTTATCAAACAAGTAAAAACTAATTAAAAGGTGATTAAAAGATGGCACAGATTAAGACACTATTAAAAATTGCTTATTCCCCGGATTTGGTCCATGCACAGATCAAAGGCCTTGGGGGGGGGGGAAGAGGCTGTCTGGGGGGGGGGGGGGGCCGGCAGCGGGGGGGGGGGGGGTTCCCTTCAGCTGGGAGGGTGCGTGTGTTTGTGTGTGTCTGTGTGGATCATGGGCTGTGTTTATTTATTTTTGTTTTACCCGCTGAGTTGTCGAGCCTGTCCCGCTCCCAAGGACCGACAGTGCTGTGCAACTCATTAAGAGCATTTTCCCACAAATGAAAAACCAACATCCTAAACCCATGAGCCACGCCGTCCCAGGAGGAAGATGGGAGCCCAAATCCAGGTGGCTCTCGACTTAAACCGGTCAAAGAGACAGGTGAAAACTGGCGACGAGTCCTCGCACTTACGACCGAGGACACAGCATCCTCCCCATGGTGACGGGGTCCAAATTTGGATGCTTGGCAACCAGCATGTAATTTATCATGGTTGCAGCATCCCAGGGATCACGTGATCGCCAGCTGGGGGTGAGAGGTAGCTGGATCCACTTAGCGACCATGTGACTCACTTAACAACCAGGGTGATTCGCTTAACAACCGGGACGGGGAAAAAAAGGTTAGAACACCCATTAAGCTTTCAAGAAGAGACTGGACTGACATCTGTCAAAAACGGTGTAGTGTATATGTTTTTTTGGGGGGGAGAATTAGTAAAAACTTGTAGAAATATAGAATGAGAATAATGGTAACTAAGTCAGAAAGAAATAGATGAAATAATAATAATGATATTGAATAAGAGTAAAGAGAAGTAAAGAGAAATTGAATAAGAGGTTTTGGTATATTATATGGAAATGGTTTAAAACAGAATCATAATTTATCTGACTTGTTAAATTTACAAGGGAAAAAGGTTTAAACATGTAATGAATAATGATAATTTGTGTGTTTTAAAAATTAATAAAACTTGTTTAAAAAAAAAACGGTGTAGTGTCTGCTTGGGTGGGAGGGGGGGTCAGACTAGATGATCTACAAGGTCCCTTCCAACTCTGTCAATGTGTATCTGTAAAGTGACTCTCTTTCCCTGCTTAGCAACTAAAGTTCTGGTTCTAATGGTCGTCATAAGGGGAGGATTGTCTCTACATGAGTTAAACGGTCGACTCTCTTCCACCCCCTGCCAATATCTGGCCACTTCGCTTGGTCGCAGGGCACCCCTTTCTTATTGTTCATTTCCCTTTTCCTGCTAACATAACCAGAAATATGATTTTTTTTTTGTTGTTGCTTTCCGCTTGTCTTTTGAGGCTGTTTTTCTGCAGGAATTTGCTACTTGCCAATAGCTGGTAAGTTGCTGTTTAGAAGATTCTCCCTGGAAGTTTTCAAGAAAAGATTGCGCAAACATTTATCCCGGATTTTATAAGGACTCCTGCCTTGGGCAGGGGGGGTTGGACTAGATGACCTCCAAGGTCCCTTCCGGTCTGATTCTGCAATTCTATGATTCTTCCTTTCCCTGGGCACGTCCTTTTCAGCACCTAGCTCCTTCAAAACAAACCAACAAACCAACAAACCTTTGTATCTACCATGGCTTGCTAAATGAACTCCACGTTTTATTTTTCTCTTGGGAAGAACGCATGATTATCCTTCCGGTATCCCAGCAGACAATCAGTTAAATAGGAGCCAGCCATGTGCAGCAGCAGCAGCAGCCCAAAAAGCCAATGTCATCCTAGATTGCATTAACAGGGGGATCGAATCTAAGTCACATGAAGTGTTAGTACCACTTTATAAGGCCTTGGTAAGGCCACACTTGGAATATGGCATCCAGTTTTAATCAACATAATATGAAAAAAAGATGTTGAAACTCTAGAAAAAGTGCAGAGAAAAACAACCAAGATGATGAGAGGACTGGAGCCTCAAACATACGACGGACGGTTGCAGGAACTGGGCCTGGCTAGTCTAGGGAAGAGAAGGACCAGGGGAGACAGGAGAGCATCTTCCAATATTTGAGGGGCTGCCCCAGAGAGGAGGAGGAAGGGGGTCAAGCTATTCTCCAAGGCCAGACAAGGAACAATGGATGGAAACTGAACAAGCAGAGATTCAACTTGGAAATAAGGAGGAATTTTCTGACAGGGAGAACAATCAATCGGTGAAATGGAAGTCACCTCAAGAAATTTGTGGGTGCTCCATCACTGGATGTTTTTAAGGACAGCCACTTGGTTGGGAAGGGTATAGAATAAGACTCTCCTGCTTGAGCAAGGGGCTGGACTAGATGACCTACAGGGTCCCTATGTTTCTAAGTCTAAGACTATAATGGATGGAAACTGAACAAGGAGAGATTCAACCTGGAAATAAGGAGAAATTTTCTGACAATGAGAACCATCAATCAATGGAACAGAAGTTTTGAGAGCTTCATCACTGGAGGCTTTCAAGAAGAGACTGAATTCCCCTCAGTCAGAAATGAGGTAGGGTCTCCTGCTTGGGTGGGGGGTTGGACTAGATGCCCTACAAGGTCCCTTCCAACTCTGTTCTATTCTATTCTATTTTATTCTTTTTTTGGGCAGACTTTCCAATTGTCCTGAGGATTGCTCCACATGGGATCCTTTTCAGTAGTCCTCTCTCTCTCTCTCTCTCTCTTTGCTTGTTGTCCTTGGCTCTCTTGAAATCCTGTGTTTGGCTTGGAGCAAGGATGTTTTCTCGAGTGAAACTTGGCTCAAATATGCCATCGCTCATTTTGCAATTCTAGATACTGCAGAGGTGATTTCCAACGGGTTCAAAGATACATTTGACTCAAACCCAAGGTTTGAGTGTTTTTTTCATGCTTTCTTTCCCTGGGTTCATCAAGGAGAAGCCCAAGATCAGAGGCCCAAGGATGCTTTTAGCACAGTGGTCATCAACCAGTGGGCCTGGGACCACTGGTGGTCCATGAGAAAAATTTGGTGGTCCGCAGAGAAATGCCACCCCCCCCCCAAAGCAATTAATTCGGGCTGTGCGGGAACACAAGGCTGCGCTGCCCACATGGCCTGTGGGAACACAAGGCTTGCGTCGCTTGCATTGGGAACAACACGAGGGAGTGAGGGGAGGGGGAAAGGGG